GGATGACGCCGAGCTCGTCACGTGCTAGCGCCCCAACCTTGGAACCTCGACTACCTGCACGCTGCCACTTGCTTTCACGTTCACTTTATACCATTATCAGCTCGCTTCCTATTGTCTTGTCGAACCCCACAATAGAAAAGATAACCGCGCTTCATTCACAGATCGCCTTCCACCATGCTTGTCTGCTTTCCTTTCCTCCAACCTCCAAACGTCCACATACACACTTGAACTCCTTCAACTCAAAACTACGACTCACTCTAAGCCTCTCTCAACCTAAATCAGCTAGTATGAAGGGTCAGACTGTCCACGATGTCCGAGCTGGCTCGGATGTCAAAGCCGAAATCCAAGAGCAAACCCAACAACAAGCCATACCCAGCAAAGACCTGGCAAACCAAGTCGCCGATACAGTCTCTGCAGTCGCAGTAGAAAGCAATGGCGCCTCTACAGCTCAGTCTGTCAACGACACTCTATCTCCAAGCACAGGATCGAAAACGGCCTCACCCAACACCAAGAAGCGAGGTCCTCCTGAACCCACTACAGCGTCGGAGCCCAGCAGTAAAAAGGCAAAAGACTCGCCAGGCCCACCGTCGCCTCAGAACGGCGCCTCTACCGATCCGGTTTTCCCTAGTCCACCAGACATGCCTGCAACCAACTTCGACAAAGAGACCTGGCAAGGATTCTGCGAAATCGAAAGTGAACCCGCCTGTTTCTCCGTCATCCTCCGCGAGATGGGCGTCCGCGACGTGACGGTACGCGAAGTATTCAGTATGGATACAGACTTCCTTCTCGACAACTTCCCGCAGCCTGTCTACGGTTTCATTCTGCTTTTCCACTACCGCGAATTTGGCAACGACGGCCAGGCAGCCGAGTGTCCCAAGGACGTCTGGTTCGCCAACCAACTGCCCGCCCAGAACAGTTGTGCGACACTAGCCATGATCAACATCATGATGAACCAGAGCAACGAAGCTGATGTGCATATCGGCGAGCATTTGACCCAGTTTAAAGATTTCACACAAGACTTGTCGCCATACCAGCGCGGTGAGGCTTTTGCGAGTTTCGATTTCGTGAAGAAGATTCACAATTCGTTTGCCAAGAAGATGGATATTCTCGAGGGCGACAAACATCTCAGCTACAAAGTCAAACGCGCCCAGCGCATCAAGGCACAGCTGTTGACTGAGAAGACCAAGCCTACCAAGAAGGGATACAAGTCGCGACGCGCTGCTTCGACCGACACCGTCGCCAGTCACGATAGTGCAGAGAGCGTCGAGGATAACGCGCATCACTACATCGCTTTCGTACCGGTTGGAAACGAGGTCTGGAAGTTGGACGGTCTGGACAGGCAGCCGACGTGCGTTGGCTCCTTCGATCCGCAGCGCGGCGAGACATGGCTTGAGTCAGTCTCCACCACCATTTCTACGCTCATGGCTGCTGGCGACGACGATTACGGCGTTGTTGCTCTGACGCAGTCTCCATTGCTCTCACTGCGCAAGAACGCTGGTCTGACAATCAACACCCTCTCGCATGTCGACACACGCCTCGATGACATCTCAGCTTCTACGTCTCAGGACTGGAGAGATCTTGTTGACCCCAATGAACAGCCGCCCAGTCCCCGTATGCTAGGCCTCGAAGAGCTTCTTGCGGTCAATCCTATCTCCACTACTCTCAAAGCGACCATCGACAGCGAAGACATGACCCAGCTCCTGGTTCGCCGTAGCGATTTGCTTTCGCAAGCCAATCAACTGGCTGCGAACATCATGATGGAGATGCAGAACGAGGCAGAAGAGGATTCGAAGGCTGCGCAGCGGCGATACGACTCTGGTCCGGTCATCAAGAAGTGGCTCGAGATGCTAGCCGAAAATGGCTTCCTGGAAGAGAACTTAGATCGCTTCATGCCAGGCAAGGGAAGAAAGTGAGGATGTGAGATTGTGGTGATTGCTTTGTGGATCTACAGCAATCATCTTGGGAATGTTTCATATTTTTCGTTCGATATTAGGCCGGAGACCAACAGGCTCGGAATGAGTGGGGATATAACAGCATTTGATGCGACGCTCGACTAGGGAGCGCAACAAACCGTCATAGCTTTATCTATCTATACTTTTCAAACCCCACCTTGTTTTTAGCCCTGCAACTTCTAATCCTCGGGGTATTCGTCGCGCACATTGCTCACGAAACAACGTTGTTCATCGTCCCAGCGCTTGAAGTGGCGGCCAGCGAGTTTCAGCAACGCCTCGGAGGGGCATGTATCCTCATCCACTGGCTTGATGTTCTCAGCAGCAACGTAGCGAACGGATTTGTCGCATACACTACTTCAATTAGCATAATATAGTAAAGGCGCTAAGAGATGAACTTACAGTACGTGGTAGAAAGCCTGATTCCTACCTTTCGATAGGGAATCCACACGCATGTTCTGAATCCAGTCTTCGTTCGCGTCGCAGACAACATCCCAGCCTGTAATGACACCCTCATAGCCATAACGCTTGTGTTGGAATAGCTGGCCAACTTTGAAAGCAACATTCTGCGTACGCGCAGAGCGGTTGGAAACAGGCTTCCGCATTGAATCAACTTGATGCATGCTCTGCACAAACTGGAGCAGACGACGACCCTCGGGTTGGTTGTAGAACATAGGGATGACGTAGCGTGATAGCAACGTCACGTCCCATGGGTAGTGCATCTGGAAATGCTCGAGCAGGTACGGCAGATATTGGCGACGACGGATCTGGTTATGTCCAGATGAGATATGATCGTCGTTCGGCCCAAGTAGCAGCATTGCCCAGATAGTTGCGTAGAACGCGTTGTCCATGTCTGGGTATGAGTTCATCCATGACGCCTGGATGCTGCCCATTCCAGCTTCAGTTTCGCGGATCGTTTGTACCGAGTTCATGATGTTGCGCGCAGTGCGCATTACCATCTCTCGGGTGTTGGTGTCGCTCAGAAAGCCATGGTGTTCGTCCTTTGGAACACCCATGTCGCGTAGGATCCTCTGTAAATCGCCTTGCCGTACTTCGGAGGAAGAGCGAAACGGATCCAGGTACATGTAATCCAGCTGCGCCGAACTCGTCGGCTTGTACTGGCCATCGAGATTGTAGTTCTTGGGCGCATAGACAAGAGTATAGACGTGGAAAAGGAACCCACAGGGTCGTGCATCAAGGCCGATCCGCTGTGCTACGGCGCAATAGATGGCGACTGAGATGAGTGGGAGAGACTCGTGGGTCGCCGAACGTATGACAAGACCAATGAAGGAATTCCGAAGTGCGCGGTACGACGTGTCTGGAACACCGTTGAAGCCTTCGTCACGGAGGAAGGATGCCAAAGTCGAGGCCTGTGTCCGTGGACTCCAGCTGCGCAAGTCGGGATATGTCTCCAATAGCCTGTTGGCTAGTGCGGTGATGTCTTCAGCTACCACGTCAATGTCTACATCTTCGCCCACTCTCGCAAACACATCGTATGCGCCCAGAGCTCTCTCTATCGATATGTCCTTGCCGTCATGTAGATCCGACCACACTTTGATGGCGACCTCGCGATGTATGCGTTCTAGTACGGCATTGGCGTAGTATCGCCTTGCTAGAACGTCGTGCGCATCGTCGGGGCATGCGCATTCCTTCAATAGCGTTTCCTTCGCATCGTACCCAAACTCGGCGATGTCGTTGATGCATCTTATGCGCCCTTGCTGGCGATTCACAATGCGGTTCAAGAGCTCTTTGGTGCGACGCTCGATTGTGTGCTTCGTCATGTAGAGGGCGCGCCAGTCGACATCGGACAACGGGGCTGCAAACTTGGCGACAATGTTGTGGCGAGCGTCCCATGTCTTGAATTGCGTCTTGCACAGGTGGCGCCATATTATAGGCGCATCGGTCGTGAGCTCTTTGATGAGCTTGTTCGTCTGCGAAACGGATGCGAGGGAGCGCGGGTCGAGATTTAAGAAGACGGCTTCGAGGATCTCGGTCGGCAAGTCAGTGAAGGAGGGGCGTGGCATGGTGGGCCCGGCGTTCAGGTGGTGTATGGGTGGGGTCGTTCGGCGCTTTCGGGAAGGGGTAGAGTCGTGGAGAGAAACGCAGAGTGCATGGGTAAATGGAGGTTCCGTGTGGCGAGTGAAGGGCGTGCTTGAAGGTTCCGCCGCAGATGTCGTCAACATTGGAACATGGGCGGTCATGAGCGCATGGCTCGCTAAGATTGACTAGCCTCGGCAGCTAAATCGCGATAACGCACCTTCAGTCAACAGGCGTTCTCTCCGTCGTATCGCGGGTCCAGATATACGATCCCGTCACGACAAGGATGAGACTGAGCTAAATCTATGCCTTGTGTCTCAACCTAGTTAGAGACGTCTTACTCATGGATGCAGAATCTACTCAGTGGAGCGCTTTTCTACTCAGGCTATATCAACAGGCTGGAGAGCTACACAGCACTCTTGATAGAGCGAAGCCCTGTCACGCTGCTCACTTGGCCAGTCGCGGAGGAAGATTGATCGCGCTATGATAAATATGCTGGTCGCTTTTAGAAGTACACTTAAAAGATACCTACGTTGCTATTGTTGGCCTAAGCAAAAGGACGACTCGATCACTGGCTATAGCCTAAGCCCGTACCGCCCGGCTTTCTTTCCTTGGTGCTGTCAGCGTATCTGCAAGTTAGGCCGTCATTGTCAGCACGAATTCCTTGGCGAAGCTCCGGCTTGCAGCGGAAATGAATGACGAGGCACTCGAAGCAACTCTGGACTCATCGTGGTCAATGCGGTAGACGCGACTCAAGCACAACAGTCAGTTATGTCCGTGAACAAGCAAGACCCTCATATGGTTTTTCCACGTTTGGTCCGGATAGCGCGCGACCGTTGCCGAAGCTCGCTGTCCGCGAGACCCGATCTGCAGCCACAGTTGATGTCACTGCCGCACCGCCGCATTCATTACCATGAACATGACGCCCTAAAACTGAACGGTCTGGCTCACCACTTTTTATCTTTCCTTTTGGCCTTGTAATCCTACACTCCTACATTCCTATCATATCCCGCCATGGCCGACCTCAGCAGAGTAGAGTCGATGCAGTATCCTGCGGGACATCTCTCCCATCTCACCGAGAACCAAGAAGCCCAGCTTCTCGAGTTCAAGAAAGTGTGCCAGGAAGCAGGCTATTACACACCTGCAGCCGGGCCGGTGCGAGCCAGTCATGACGACGAGACCATGCTGTACGCGCAAATCGCGAAGTTGTCGATTTTAGCGGGGCACTGACTGCTTACAGGCGCTATCTGCGCGCGCGTCGTTTTGTTCCCCAAGAGGCCTTTAAGCAATTCAAAGACACGGAAGACTGGCGGAAGGAGAACAAACTAAGCGAAATCTTCAACACTATCGAGGTCGAAGAGTATGAGCAAACGCGACGCTTGGTAGAGAGTCCCGCATACATGTGCTGTCATCCTGTCTGACAGCCTCACGTAGTACCCGCAATGGCTCGGCCGACGCGACAAACGCGGCATTCCTCTCTTCCTTTTCGAGGTCGCACCGCTGAACTCGAAGAACATCTCCACGTACGAGAAGCAACTCGCCAAGTCAAAGACGACTATCCCCAATGTCGCAACCAAGAACCTGCGCCTATTCGCCCTGTATGAATCGCTCACAAGATTCTACACACCTCTGTGTTCCATGGTCCCTCGTAGCCACCCAGAAACGCCAATCTCGCAAAGCAACAACATCGTGGATATCAGTGGTGTTGGGCTGAAGCAGTTCTGGAATCTGAAGGGCCACATGCAAGATGCTTCGGTTCTGGCCACAGCACACTACCCTGAGACCCTGGATAGGATATTTGTATGTACACGCGTCTTCTTGAAAGCCATGCGAGTAGAACTGACCGAATCGCAGATCGTCGGAGCACCTGGCTTCTTTCCCACCGTCTGGGGCTGGGTCAAGCGTTGGTTTGATCCCATCACCGTCTCAAAGATCTTCATCCTCTCCCCGCAGAACGTCTACTCCACACTCTCTCAATACATCGACCATGAAAACATCCCGAAGAAGTACGGTGGCGGTCTCGATTTCGAGTGGGGACAGCTGCCGAACCTTGAGCCAGCCATCGAGGCGCAAATGAAGTGGGAGAACCCAAATACCCAGGACGGCCGCAAGACGTTCCCTATTGGGCCGATAAAGTGGGAGGAAGGCCAGAATGGCGAAATGGAAGCCTGGGGCGTCGGCAGCGAAGACGGAACACCACGAAGAAAACTAATCTTCTCCATTCCTAAGCCTGTAGGATACAAGCAGGGAGATCTGATGCCGCCCACACCTGCGACTCAGATCGGCGACCCTCTCACAACCGTAGGCACAGCGACTCATCCCCCTGATACGAACGAGCCTGAAATCCACACCCCACCCTCAGACACCGAGTCGCGCCCGTCCACGACCGCAGTACCAATTACTACAACTCTACCGATTCGCGCTGGCACATCAGAAGCACGGTACGAGCAACAGAACCAAACACACGCATCTGGGCAGCTCGCAGACGGAACGCCCGAGGCAGCAGTGGTGGACCATGGGCATGGAGACAAGACAGTCACAATGGAGCCCAACACGGTGGGTCAAGCACCGAAAGAGGTACCGCTCCCCGATCGTGAAGAACCCGCCGCCCCAGGCTATTTGGACCAAGCTAAACAAGCCGCTGTATCAGCCTCCGCTGTAGTCACCTCGACTGCTACTTCTGCCGCTGAAGCCGTTGCCGGTGTAGTTGGTGGAAACAAGGGGGAAGAAAACAAGGTTGAAGAGCCTGAGAGGATAAAGAGTCCACAGGAACAAGAGATGGATCGCCAGATCGATGCCACGAGTGCCAAGGACGTTGAGGCGTTTCTGAGGGCGCAGACGGCTAGTGGTGGACATAAAGCCAGTTGAACTCGTTTGAAGCCCTTGGATATGTTGTACGTGGAGTAGAGATTGTATAGATGACGAACTATTGATACCATGCTCTTAACCATGCGTTGAGCTTGGACTGTTCTAGAAGAAACATGATAGATGCGCAAGGCAAGTCTGCTGCTTTTAGACCCACCAAAGAGCGAGAAGTCATTGGTGGGTGCATATTCAGAAAGAGAATGCGTTGGTAGGTTATCCGCGTGAGTATTGTCATTCAGGTCTCCTATGGAAGTATCTATCCATCTCAAAAGGTGATGAGCACAGCATCGATTTTCATTTTCTTGATCCATTCCCATGACCTCATAAGTACCCCATTCATAGAAAGAAGTGCCAACACACACGTACTGTAGCTCACTGATTCATCATCCTGGAACTGGGTTGTACGAAGGGTGATGCCGAACTCGCATATATTCGCCACCATTGTTACGCGATCAGACACGTACTTGCAATCTCGCGTGTTCATGCCCCTGACTGTTTCCATAATCACGTAGGCTCTGTTCCTGACTGTTCCCGCGGGACTCAAACCTCTTTCCTTAACGATAGGTTCACCGGGGGCACGCGCATCGCGGTCATGAGAACGGAAATTGTTGGTTAATAACCGAGAAAGTTCCAGATTGTTCAAACGCCTCCAACACCATCTATCAATACTCTGAGGCAGAGAACTTGGCATGAAGATACTCGTTCGCTCTCGTCCAGTAGTAATCTCATCAGATGACGGATCTAGTAGTATAGGGATCAGATAGCACAAAGTCTTAGAACAACGCTGCTCTTGATATGTCCAGGCACGTGTAAAGTATGGATCTTCAACTAGTCTCTTGAAGATCATGTGTAGCGGAGAATCAATAGCGCTTTTTCCTCGGGCGTCTTCTCCAAGAATGTTTTCCAGATTGTTGCTCCAGTACCAGTTACCAAGCCAGTTGAGCGATATAAGACCTGTCGCAGCACCGGTGACCTTAGGATCAACACAGTCTTCCTCTTCAATTTCATTGTTCAGAGTTCCGTCCACTGTGTCTTTTCCATGGGCCTCAATGCAGCGCTGCAACAAGGTCGCTTGGCTCGGGCTTATACTTTGTGACAGAACGATAGCGATGCATTTGGACCGCTCATAAATTCTATGCATATGCGCGATATGTTCATCGCGATCTGTTGCATCGTCTTGGTCGATACACTCTTGGTCAATCCAGAGGCGACCAGTCTTGGTTTGATGGGTATCGTATTGCAGTGCCCGGTGAAGGACAGATGGAGGGCAACGTGGCGGGCGGGTTTCCGTGTCGCTGGTCCAGATCATGAACTCCGGCGTATTGAACTGGGCAGCAAGACTCTCAGGCTGTGCCCAAGTGTACGATACAGCAACATATTCCCAGTCGGGATCATATTCTGCTCTCTGGGTAAGACGTAGATGGACCTGGATGCAGGTGTACAAAATCAGCATTTGTCTTACGCGCAGTGTGTATAGCGAGATTACTGACTGTGTTGCCTGGAGGCTCGGACAGCGACCTATCGCACAGAGTGAGAAATCGAAGAGGAATCTGCGTATCAGAGACGATTTCCTTGTATTTTGTCTCGAGCTCTGTCAAGGCTGTTTGGAGAGCTTCGATACTAGGGTATAGTTCGCCAAATGTCTTGTCAGAATCAAGCTTCATTTGAAATTGCTAGAGGACTGGGGAAGTGGAGGGAAGTGAAGATCACTCTGATAGCTATGGACTCGACGATGTGGCTGGCATCCTAGAGACTAGGGTTAGCCCCCGCCCAAGGCTGAGCTGAACATGCACGTATGAAGGCAAGCTTGATGGGCAACGACACCATCACCTGCAGCCTCCCACATCCCGCAAGGCTGTTCACAGAGAAATTGTTCGTTGGGCATGCGGCACTGTTCATCACAGGCAGCCGCGATGGCTTCTTCGCGCCATTCCAAGGAGCAGGGCGGATTGACCAGAGCCTCCAGAAAAATGTTGAAAGGCAAGGCATGGGAGTTGAAGGCGATGCTCGCGCTTGGTGAGCAGTGGTGAGCCTGAAGCCCCCACCAAGCTGCGCACAGATGCTACACCACCAGGCAAGAGCGAGCTCCGCCACAGCGCGCCTGTCAGAGGCAAGCCCAACGAAGGATCCAACCATGCAACCGTCCCATCTCTCAACAAACGCGCAAATGTTACGTCGGCTGACACAGATCATCGACGTAAGTTCTCGTCACTGACAGTACTCCAACTTCTCATGCGAGCCATTTCCCCAATGCAGCATGCGACCCATCAGCCTCGTACCACCTACTCAAACGATGCCACAAACACCGCGCCGGTTAATCGAACGCAAGAACACGCGCCTCCGCTGTCAGCCCGTCAGCCTTGTGCTACATAGCGAACACTGGGGTCCCTATCTAGAGCCGAGGAGAACAGAACGCGACAATGGGTTCATGGACATTGCGCAAGCGGACGCTCGACACGTCACATCGTAGTCACAGCTTGTGGTCTGAGTCAAATTCCCAGACTGCTGGAAGCACGCATATAGCTGGAGATCTCAGGTGGTGAAGCAGCTGCCATAACGTGCACTCTGGATTGAGTCTCGTGTATGCTTTCCAGCGATCATAATGTGGAACGTGGATTGGAACCCAGTGACAAAGGTTCAGGTACGCTATTCCACCAAATATATAACTCCACAGCATTGAGTGCGAGGTAGCAGGTCTATGCATTGCAGTAACATCTACTGACATCGACAGTTCCATACATTGGATCTTCCCTTCTTACACATCGTTCTAATCAGATAACTAGACTGTAGAGGTCTCGTGCTTAGTAGCGAGGTTCTCGAGGGGAATCTCGATATGCTTATCAGCGAGGTTCATGTCGCCGGCAAAGGTGCTGTGGGGCTTCCAATTGCGGGAGGTGCGAGGGGTGCTCTCCTCCAACATTTTGTCGACTTGCTCAAGCGTAAGACCCTTGGTTTCGGGAACAAAGAAGTAGGCGAAAAGGACTGTTTGTGAATTAGCAAAAGGCTCCATGTGGCTACAAGGAAAATGGAAAACTTACATGAAACGCAGCAGAGCGAGCCCCACAGGAAGAAGACATTTGATCCCATACGAGCAGAGTCATCACGGTCGGCAACTAGGTAGGGGGTGATGATACCGATGATGCAGTTCCAGAACCAGTTGCTAGCCGTGGACAGACCGACGCCACGAGATCGAATAGTCAAAGGAAAGATTTCGCCGATCACAATCCAGGCGCACGGTCCCCAGGTTGTAGCGAAGACGGAGATGTTCAAGCAGATGAATGCGATCATGGCTCTGGTAGCATTCGGGTTGGCAGGATGGTCGGCAGTGTTTCTGCCAGCGGTGGCTCCGATGGCGCCGACGATGAACTGCATGATAACCATGCCAGCAGCTCCAAAAACAAGGAGAGGGCGTCTGCCAATTTTCTCGACCATGACGAACGAGGCCGGGGTGGACAGCACGTTGACAAGAGTTGTGACGAGAGAGATGAGGAAAGGGTTGCTGATGGAGCCGAGCTGCTGGAAGAAGACCGGGCCGAAGTAGAAGATGAAGTTGATACCAGTCAGCTGCTGCATGGCCTGCATGAAGATGCCAATCGTAGTGCGGCGAGCGTTGGACGAGGGCTGAGAGAGCTTTCCCTTGAAACAAGCCATCCATGAGCCGAGATAGCTACCCTGGGGAACAACGGACATTTCGTATTCGTGGTTAGCAAGAATCTCAGCGAGTTCATCCTGGATATATTCGGAGTCAAGAGGTTGACCACGAACACGGCCGAGGGCGGCAGCAGCCTTATCGAGCTTGCCCTTCTTGACCCAGTAACGAGGGGACTCTGGGAGGAGAGCGAGACCGATGGCGAGAATGATAGCCCACAGGAACTGAACGGCGATCGGAATTCGATAGGAGCCAGTATCGCGTCTGTTCTGAGTGGCATATACAACGCAGTTGGCGAGCAAGATACCGATGGTGATGCAGAACTGGTAGCCTATCAAAGTCAGAATGTATACATGTAGACCATGTGGATAGTAATTACCAGCGACTACAGCACCACGGACCTTCTTGGGTGCAATCTCAGACATATAGAGAATGACAATGGACGAGATGAAACCCACACCGAAACCGGCGATAAGTCGACCAGCAACCATGACACCAAGTCCAGTAGAGGCTGTCTCAAGGATGCCTCCGACAATGAAGATGCCACATCCCATGATGATTGTGAAACGACGTCCGATAAAGTCAGCAATATCACCAGCCATGATAGCGCCGAAGAAGGTACTGTATTCTGTTAGTATTCACTGATAATACTATTGGTCTTTTCTCACATACCCGGCAGAGAGGATGGATGTGACGAGTGATTGCTGCCATGGTACGACCACGAATGTAGAGTTGCGATAGTCTTTGATGGTCTGGCTGGTGGAGTCAAGGCCCGGATACACGACGTCGGGGTATTCAGCTCCAGTGTATTGCTTTATGAAGTAGTCCATGTTGAGGACTCCACCCATCCAGCCAGTGTCATATCCAAAGAATATTCCTCCGAACGCAGCGAATGCGACGATCAGATAGGCTCGAACGGTGACAGGAGCCTCGACCCGGTTGAGGTCATGCGTCCCAGTGAGGGTAACACCACCTCCTGGCATTGTCGCTAATTATTCCAAGATTGCTGGAACAAGAGGTAATTATGATGAAAGGCGCTTTGCGCAGCGTTGAGGAAGCAGAAGTTGGAGAAGGCTGCAGGCGCAATCGACAGTGGGATACCCCAGTTTTTAATATCGCATCCTGAACAGCGGTGATGCTGCAGTGTGGTGCGTGTGTGGCTTTCTATGGTAGCATTGCAATTTCTTACACTAGGCCTGACCAGGTGACTACTCCGCACTTGACACTTATGGAAGGATTGGTACCATTCTTCATGGGCCGTTGGTATGTGCCAACGGCTAGCGAGAATGTGTATGTCCGCATGTACTGTTGGCATGCGACCGTGTGACCTGTCATCGATCAGCCCACGCTATTGCAGAATTTCCACAAAGACAGCTGCGCTTAAGCTCTAGACAACTATCGATCCGATGTAGACGACCGGATATGTCGCTAGTTCAGGCAGTACAACAGTTGACCCCGGATATAGATCGCCTGGTAGAGACGCCAAAACCTGGGGGCCAAGCTCACTCAAGCTCGCTTTGAAGCCCGTCTTGGCGGTCAAGCCCTGCATATTCATCCCAGTAGACGCTGGCTATCACTTACATGGGGAAGGGACAGGGTGCGAAATGCATGTGAATGGCACTAGTGGACACTTCTTCAGCCAAGAGCTCTCATCGTTCCATCGATCTGGGGTAGTGTTTGGTGCCCGATATACCCTGTTGATCTCCACAAACAGTACGAGCGATACACGATTATGTACATCGAATCAACTTGTCCTTGTGATGGCTGTGGTTTGTCGGCGAAGCCATTGCGCGTCGACACCTGATCGTCTCTTTATTCTTTGTCCAACAGGCGGCGATCTACAGTATATCGCTTACGCGACTCCGGGCATGTTAATGTCCATCACAGACGTTTTGGTAAGTATCCGGGCGTAGCAGACGTGTGCCGCTTCAACGGTCAACCCTTGTGCTGGGCCGAGAACATCCTCGAGCATATGTATGAGCATGTTGATTCGTTCGCGTAGACGAAGGAATGGTAACGATTCGAAGGTCACCAATGAACAGGACGTGCCCGAAAGTTGGTGTGCCTCGTACATATTGCATGCCTGTCTTGTCGCCCATAGGTCAGCTCTCGGAACATCAAAGGCAACTGAAGGATCACGCTCACTCCCAAAGTGTGTTTATCCAGGAAATTGGGATAATTAGAGATACTGGTGGCGCCTCTCCCTTTGTGATCACCTTACCGTTTTGCTAGCCACACCCGTGCGGCGGATCTGGAGAACCCTGTCGCAGGTAAGCAGCCACAGACTGTAGAGACCGGAGAGGAAATGAGCGAATAAGCAAAGAACGGCCGGTATCCCTCAGGCGTGCTATCGGATACCTTCCTAAATAACATCGCAGTGGCACCCCGCTCTCGAAGGCGTTCATGGATCCCGTGAAGCGATGCTACTTTGCGACGCCTCCTGGTATCACCCAACAACGGATGCCACCAATCGTCCCGCGAGCCACTAGCATCATCAAACGCTTTACGTCTATTCCATTACCAGAGACGACTTGAAAGTTGGGCGATTCGGAGTGGAGACGGGTGGGCAACGGTCCAACGAGAAGCAACGGCGGACGGGCTTCTCGACAACGGCGCGCTGTGCCGGACAGGTGGTGTGCATAGACTATGCGCTTTTCTAGTTACGAAGGACGACGTGCATGCGGGCTATGCACGTGGATGTGCTTCTCCTAGAAATGTAACTGGAAGCAGGTATCCTTGAACCGCTTTTCTGCCTCCGCGGGCACTTGAGTCAAAGGTCGAGCAGCTCCTGCGCGCAACTATTCCTAGCGCCGACTAGCGTGGTGGGCTTGATTCTGCGGGGCGTACCTCGATCCTAGTGCCATGTACAAAGCCAACAAGCTTTGAAAGCCTCACTGTACGCGGCAGCAATCTTTCCAAATCGTACCAGCAGCAGTATATCGAGGATTATGGGGAGTTTGGTGATGATATTTGAAGGCAGTTCATATAGTGGGGCCTTATGCGCTCACAGAAGTGTCGCATACCAAATCGCGCTATAGGTGCTGTATGCAGCACTTCGAGAAACATCACGAAAGAAGCGCCATCCGCATCCCAAACCGGCACCTCTACCAAGCGGTGCGGTCGAAGATTTCCCCTGTGAGAAGCTCTAGTCTTTCGAACGCGATCTATTCGTATGTTCATCCCATCGGCCTCCACGTGCTCAGCACCACCATTATAGCGCACACACGCGAGTGAAACGACAACTACACCAAAAACAACAGGTACAGATACCTTTTTGCACTAAAGTTTTTGTGTTTTACACTTTTTACACGTTTGTGTGTGCTGGTTACGCATAAGCACTGTACACCATGTGGAACTAGAGGTTCGTAATGTACACTTCGCGATAGCCTCAGGACTAGTAGATCTGGTCCCAACAGTAACCATAACAAATGTTCGTGTTCTTTACGTATACATTCGAGCTATCACTTCAGACACCTTCTCTCTATAGACGATGACATTGTGGTTCAAGCTCCCTTTGGCTTCTCCTGGTACGCGACAATGCCTTTCTCCTCTGGGATGTTTCCAATGTTTGCTGAAACGACCTTGTAACGGTCGCTTACGGATCTTCCTAGGTCTTTTTGCACATCCTCGTGGATCTGGTTGAAATGCTCGAAGATGCTGGAAATGGGTAATCCTGTCCATATATCCACGAGTAAACATCTAGCGAGACTGCTTGAGGGTGTGCCTTTGTACACCATGTTGATTGTTTGCGCACTCGGGGCTTGCCGTTTCCCGTGTTGTCCTGTCAATTTGGTGGTGGCTAGTGCAGCTTCCATCATGGCGTTCTTGGTCGAAAGGTCTTGAAGTTTCTCACCAAGAACGAAAACGCGGAGAACATTGTCGTACTGTTTTGTAACAACTGTAATGAAGTCACCCGTTGTGAGCTTCTTCAGCTCTTCCTCGGTCTCGGTTGCAATAGGCAGCTGTCCAGTATAGAGGTGATTCAGATAGAGGGCGAAAGTACCAGGGTCATCGTCAGGGAAATTGATGGTTCTTGTGTCTGCCTCCTGCCAGTTGCCATTCATGGCGCGGCGGAAGAACTCTGAACGGGAAGTGAGGAAGCTTTCGTGCGCGATGAAGTCCTCTGTGTTCGGATCCTTCCCTACGCGTATAGTGACTGCTGAGGTAGACTTGAAGCTACGAGTATAATGTTAGTTTCGCAATTGCTTGCAGAATGCTTTGTTATTGTCAACTTACCTCATGGTGCTTGACTTGCTGCCTTGGGCAGTCTTCGGGCTCGGCATGGCGGGGCGGACCACTCCAGCTGGTGATGTTTAGCTTGGAAGTAAGACGTCGAAGTCCAGGCGGAAGGATTCAGTGATGTTTGTAGCCTGTGCGCGACGCTAGATTGAAGGTGAGAGTGAGCAGGAAGGTGCGACAGATGACAACGAGCAACTCTTTCCCGCGGACCCAGCATCGACTGCGTGTCTACAAAGCTATGGAATGCTGCAGCTTGAGTGGCACGTTACACGCTTCAAAGTGTACATACTTTGTAATATTCCACCGACATCTGAGACTATCATCGTCAGCTCCCACTAGGTGTCGCCAGAAGTTCGTAAGGTGCACTTCGCATGTACAAGACAACAGGTATTTCGTTATGACCGGTCGATACCTCCATTACGCGATCATGCGACAGCATCTTCGTCTCCGCCAATTCCAACGCCGGATCGCTCGCAGTGGCAGGGGTAACGGGCTCTCTCGGTTTCTCCTAGCGCACGTGGAAGGCACAACCCTGGAAACCGCGTTCATCCCGTTGTAAGGAAATGTGCGGCGAGATTTGTTACCAAATTGAACGATAGAGAAAGGGTATACAGATGCACTCTTTCGATGGAGTGTAATGGCAGTGATGGGTTCATGTGAGTAGCTGGGACAACACGCGTGTCCACTCCTCTTGAGAGCTGGCCCAGTGAAGGTGATACAAGTGTGCGAAGTCGCTCGTTTCCTCTTTTCAAATGCTCATAGTAATATCGCCGGCTTCTTCGGAAACGTGCGAGACACAACCGGAGCTCTCTTGAAGCGGCGCACGAAGCTGCAAGTCGGCGTTCCTGTAGAATCTGCCCGGTAGCCGACACCCGGAAAGGATGAGAAGATCGGGTAGAGCCGGTTATCTTATCAGCGACCCACATGCCCCTCACATGACTCGCAACATTCACGCGTCAGATCAAAACAACGCGTCACATTCACCGATTTCAGAGACGCATAACGTTTGAAGTATATGTTAATTTGAATTGCTTGAGACGATAGCATCACGTCGTAGCTAGCCTCCCATAACGCCAGATTGCGACGCTGAAGAGAACAATGACAGTAGAGTAGACATCCATCCGCAGTGACAGACACGCGCCAGAACGCCCGGCCAACATGATATATCCCAGGTAAGAAAATCAGGGACGAACACCGTAGGCCTGCCTTGCCATATCCGCCGGTGGCCGAACCACGCCCACCTGTAAAACCCATAGACTAGTAGTGTGACAAAGGGAATACGTGAAGAAGATGTCGTCTAGCGTACGCTCCGAAGCTAACGGACGGTAGCATGGTAAAATAAAAAAGGTCAACAAGAACAAACAAGCTTAAACTGGAACAGCTCATGCCTTGGCCTTTGGTGTTGCCTTCTTGGGCGTCGCCTTCTTCTTGGGTGTGGTGGCCTTCTTCGCTGCGGCGGTCTTCTTTGCTGCTGGTGCCTTCTTTGTTGCCTTGGTTGCGGCGGCGGGAGCCTTGGTCTTGGTGACGCGACCAGACTTGGTCTTTCCGAGCACGCGCGATACCTCCTCCTCGACAGCGGGGGCTGCAGTGGGGGCAGTCTTGCGGGGTTTGCTGGCGTTGGCCTTGGGCTTAGCGGCAGGGGCAGCCTTGGTAGCAGCAGCTGTGGCAGTGGCCTTCTTCGGGCGGCCGACAGCCTTCTTGGGAGCAGCAGCCTTGGTGGTGGTGGCCTTGGCCTTCTGTAGAGGAAGTCAGACACGTAGGCTCATGACAGCAGGCAGATACTTACAGTGGTCGTGGCCTTCTTGGTGGCGGGGGCCTTCTTCTCAGTAGTCTTCTTCTCGACGGTCTTCTTCTCAGTGACCTTCTTCTCGGCCTTGGGCTCAGACTTCTTGGTAGCGGTGGCAGCGGCAGGCTTGGCCTCCTTCTTCGCAAGCTTTACGGGTCCAGACGTGCCTACATGACGCGTCAGTAAGGTTCAGATGACTCATGATACGTGCGTGTAGGATACACAGTAGCGACGTGTTGAAGATGTGTCGTCGCGCAGACTTGGTGGAGAGGCACTTACCCTTTGGACGCGCAAAGTCACCCTTCTCCTCGCCGGAAGTAATAGCACGGTTGACGTGACTCCTGAAGGCAGCATCGCTAAGGTTGCCGACCTTGTTGTTGGCTTGGATGTACTTCTGGATAGCTTGACGGCTGTTGGCGCAGAGTCAGCGTGAGTTCTGAGGTACGCGCGCTTTCAGACGAAAGCATGCCGCAACATATGAGCGACGACATGTGGGGATTAATTTTACTAACCTTGATCCATTTCGTTCCTTGAGCTGTAGCATGCATAGAGCTCGTCAGTAATCATGTTCACTTGGGGGAGTAATGTCATGGAGCGTTATTGTGATTCGCGCTGAAGTTGGCGTTGCGAGCTGTCGCAAGCTGTCGCAAACTCATGTGCAGGGCAACACGCCTGGGATAGACTCACGTTGATGATAGCATCCTTGACCATGTCTAAAAGAGTCAGCATTGGCCGGCGACAAAGACGCGACTATCGGGCAACCGACGCGACCGCGTTGGGCTGAGATATCATAGTACATACCGATGTAGGAGCCATGGGCAGGTGCGGCAGCGGCGGCCTTGGCCTTGGAAGGGGTGGTGTTCTTCTTGGGAGGCATTGTTGCTAGTGGTTTGGATGGGAAGATAGACGCGTTACTGATGCTTCGAACGAGAGGGCGAACGTGAAAATCGATGGAAGAATGGTGGTGGTGGGAAGTCTGGAAGTCGCTGAGTTGGGGCAAGCACGCGGCGGGTGGGGTATGCGCCGTTCTTATACTTTTCAGGGATCAGAATCGGCGCCCCCAGATCACCAACTCGAAGGCGCTAATCTTCCAGGCCTGATCAAGATGCGCTTCAGTTTGATCTCATGTTGCAATACTGCCGCCTACGCTGACTAGGCGCCGTGCGGCTGCTGTCCGTTCGATTTGTTGGGGGTCTTTCCTGTCTCCCGGCTGGAAGCGCAGCCCTTCACCCCATCTCCTCTCCTTCGAGCCGCTCTTTTCATCTTGGTGACGCTTAACCATGCCAACGCATGCCAGGAGCCTTACCGCAGGCACCTGTGGCCTCGAGCTTCAGTCCTGCCAACAGTCCCTGCTTGTTGTTTCGTCTGGGTCATCTCTGTCAATCCACGATAGCTGTAGCTTGCGCCTTGAAGGACTCGATTTTGCGCAAGCTTCCGCTCCAGTCCTCGAAGCCTTATGCCGAGACGCGTTGCTACATGCTTCCTTTTTCCTTTTTCTCTATGCCAGTCTTGTACTCGATGGAACACTCTATGCTTTATGTTGGCTTGATTGGCTCTCGGCACTCGAGTCTAGTCTTGATGGTTGTGGTTTTGGCGATACATGCGTCGCGTCATCTGCCTTCTATGGTGTTTCGCTCTGCGCGCCGACACCTCGAACACGACCTGCCCACACGCGTACAAATCGGCAAAGCAAAGACATATTCTCTATCTTTGGGTATTGCGCAATGCGTACATAGACTTTCAGAGCATTCCCTTGAGCATGTCGGCCAGCATGGTGTTGAATTGATGACGTGTTGCAGTGTGTCAGGCGGGGTGATCACGCGTGCGATTCTATCGCTACAATCCTCTTCCGCACAACCTCTCTTGTTACAGCATAATTGAGTGCCTTGAGAACCCGAAGCGCATATCCAAAAGCCCTTTCTCTGAGCAGCAGATACATCCAACCTATATACAACGCGTTGTGGCTGGCAAGCGAACGCGGCGTTGTTTCGCGGCTCTTGGCCAGACAGTGTGGGACAGTCCATCACTGATTGCCAGCAGCCAACATACGGAAGGCCGACATTAGCCACTTATGGGAGATGGCCTAGGGCAGACGTGAACTGATGGTTAGTACAGACTCACATTTATATCTATGGTCTTCCGGATATCCTACAATGCGCAGATATCTTACCTGTGCACCCTGCATGATCCTGCTGGGAGAGAATCTACTTACAATAACATCTACTACTAGGGCCGGTTCTTGTGCTCCTACAATTTCATCTCTCATATTAAAGAACATAGCTCTCATTCATACTAAGCTGTGGTTATTGGGGACTTTGGGTCCGTGTGGCCGTCGGGTTTTTGAATGTTCCAATATTGTGTTCGGGTTGTGGGATATTGCAGCACTAAAACCGCGCATGATAGAAACTCAAAAAATCATAACGCCATCACTTACGCCATGGTAGCCGAAAGATACCCAGAAAACTAAATCACCACAGCGACAGAATACCGTTGTCTCTTCACAGGTTGCAGGAGGCTACATAAGTAGTTCTGAATATACCAAAAGAGTGGACTTGTGCACACCTTCTTTGAAGATGCCAGCAGTATACCTACACCCCAGCGCAGTCAAACTGCACTGATAAGCCTTACACGAAGGAAAAGTCAATACGAGAAGGGACATTGGAAGGATAGAGCTTAGTATGCAGTATCATGTACATCACACGGCATTCAATACCTAGGTATGTCAGAGCCATCGAGAGGCTAGCATTAACCACCACTCCGGGTAGTGATGCATTACTATGTCGGAGCTCAAGGCTCACAGTCAATTCACGAGAAACACAGTTAAATAGAAGGAGCGTACGCAGCAACATCGCGAGGAAGTTCGAGCCGTATTGAAGCGAGCCGTCTGCTTCGAAGTTACATTCGTTAATGTCGGGAAGAGCGAAACGATAAGCCATTTGTCACGTACAGTGAGGTCGTGAAGACATAGTAGAGTGATGTAAGTAGGAGCTCCGACGAGCAGACAAAAGTCGCGGACGTAAAAGGGTGGTGTGGGACGCGCTCGATATCGTTTCATTTGGGCTGGTTCGTTTCGGAATCCACGGGCAGATAGGTTGACGTCTTTGACGCGGAAAGTGATGTGGCAATAGTCTAGATGCGCATCTTGATAAATGAACACGAAGTTCAGTAATTGCCTCATGATTTCGGATTTGTGGGGTACGACATGTGCTTTTGTTTGAGAACGATGCATACCTTTATACCCCATGTGCCATCTCAGTA